CTGGTGTTCACCAAGACTTCAGGGATGTATTTCAGACACAGAAATGACATCGAAAAAATTGATGTGACAAGATGGCCAAGAAAAACTTCAAGAAAAAAAATAACACCAGGTTTCCGCGAAAGGCACAGTCACAGCGAAAGCTAGATGAGCGGTCTTTCAGAGCCTTTTCTAAACACTCATTGGGTAACTTCTGTAAGCACACATGCTTGATGCCCACTACGGCATTGATAATAATTTTAGTGTAGTAGGCCAGCATTCGCTTCGCTATTTTTCATCATTCTTCTGAGAAGCGTAGTATTCAATAAACTATTGCGAGGAGTTTTGTGCCAATTGTTCATGCAGTGGCTGACAATGATGAGGAATTATGCCTGAAGTGGGTATGTGCCCCAGTTCATAGCTGAACAAAAACAAGCTTTTGTAATGGGTTCGAGCACCAGACGACCCACTCTTTATGCTATTCACATTGTGCGACGACTGCTTGTTATTTCGCAGCATTGAAACGCCTTACAAGTCGTATTAATGCGATTGCTTTTTCGACATCAAGCCTGCCTAAAGCAAGTTCGCCATCAAGTCCCAAACACCGGCGTGGCTCAGTGGTAGAATACTGGGCTGGCACCCAGTGATCCGGGTTCGAGCCCTACTGTGTAATTGGTACTAGTTTTTTTTCTTTGTAATATCGCGCGATGTGGTTGCGGGCAGCGGCGGCGGCGGCGGCAGACAACTGCGGTGCTGCGCGAGACTCTAGTTGTGATCTCATAAAAGCTTTCGCTGTAAAATGGTTGCATCAGTGGGAGTCGGACCCGCAACTCCTCTGTTCATGACAAAATATGCTGGGCCCACCGCACAATCATACACCTTGCAGGCTTTTTAAATCTCGCACTTTCCTCTCACAGTTCTCTTGGTCAACAGTGAAGTTATGCATCATAAATATGGTCTCTGCAGTGAGCTCTTGCAACACGTTGCTACGCATCCATCTTACACAGCGCATTTTCAACAGCACAAATGAAATTTTGTCAACTCCATAAGGCACTATACTTTGGCGACCTTAGCCCTAGCCTCAGTTTCCTTTGTAGCACCCATTCATACCAAAATAGCCCTGCCCCGCTTTCACTTGCCCAGAGAAAAATCGTTGCTGGGCTAGAGGAAACGTGACACGCATAGCATTTCCATTTAGTCTGATCATGGTGTTCAATAACTCTTGAACATACTGCACGATGAAGTCATCAGCTTTTTAAATTCTGGATTTAATCAGCAACACTCTGGATACTCTTTTGACTGCTCCACCACTTACTCTGATTATGCTTTCACCTTCAACTACTACACCAACCTAAAGGTTTGTCTAATCATTGTAGTTGTTGGGATAGACATGTACCACCAAGCATCAACTTGGATGCACCCATGGTAAATGATGCTACAGCTGCCATTACCTATCGTATTTACTCGCGTAACGAACACGAGTAAATTAGAGCACATTAGACGTACATTCATTATGCAGGGTAAATTTCATGAAAACATTTTCGGGAAGAGCAAAAAATGCGGTAATGTAAAAAAAGAAAGTTAGGTCGCTTAGCCTTTTGCAATTGACATATGCGTACACTGTTTGGAAACAGCTTCTTTGTTGCACTTTACTCATCTTCGACTATCTTGTGCAAGCTGTTGCCGCGCTGCCCGCACAAGCCATAAAAGCGTATTGTGGTTATCTTTTCTCGTAATCGTTTAACTGCAACAGTGGTATCTGCTGTAATCTCTAGGGGCGACGCACTTTGCCAACTTCGCGGCAACCTCGCACGGTGACCGTGACGACGTTGTTAGCATTGTAGCAAGTAACCAACAATGCAGCAAGCTACCCCCGAAGCAGCAAAAAAAAACTGTCGATAACAAAATTAACGACAAAATTAGCCACCGCAGCCTCGCTTACACAAGAGAAGTTCCTGTACGCACCGATAACAAGCGACGCGAGAATCGAGGATGCTACATTGTTGCAGAAACTGTCACAATATTTTCTGGGTGACAAGAGATTTTTCTGGTTTTCCAGAAACCTGTGACGCGATAGCGACAAATGACCCTTCGCGACAGCAAATCCCGTGATCGTCGCACGAAAAGCGCGTGCACATAGTCGGGCTTTAAAGCTTCGTATTTGCAGGAAGTGACAGTTCGTTGGCGCGACAGTTTTGTGACCTTCGCTTGCAGTGTGCTTATCAGCTGCGATGTCTCTACACTCGCACCGTCTTTGAACCCTGCTGTGGCGCACAGATTGAAAAGACATGGTACGTGCCGTACACAAATAGAAAGAAAAGCAATACGACACCACGTGGCAACGGGCGAAGGGAGCGAGCTGAGGAGGCTGATGGGGGTCAGGATAATAATAAAAAAACGGAAGACATCCAACGGGTGAAGAGGCGCCAGGTGTCGGTTAGCAGGACTGCAGTGGATGAATGTAGGGGGTGCATTTATTACGAAGGGAAAAAATCCTAACTTCGACGACTGAATTTGGGGGTGCGTTTATTTGGTGTGTGCAATCATTACGCAAGTATATACGGTAAACATTCAACTACTTTTGTGGAGACACATTCTTAAATTTTGTTATATATACCAATTTTCAGGACAGAAAAGACTAACCATGTCTTTAGGGGCGAAGCTTCTCTTAGTCTAACCTTGTCCTGCATCAGGCGTAGCCGGCAGCATCAGACAAACATGGAAGACACTGGGTTTGGGCTAGGTGGTACTGATTCAGAGCTTATGCAAGCGCTAAAGGCACATACGTAAGACGAGCGAAGGACACAGGACAAGTGTTTGTCCTGTGTTATGGATCCGACAAAAAGACAGAGAGACGCATGGACTGACGCATGGACGGACAGAGAGACGCACAAATGAACGCACGGACAGATGGATGGATGGAAGCATGGACACACAGAGGGACAGGCAGACAGACAAACAGACGAATGCTTCACCCTACTCACCATCAATCACTTCGTGGATATGCTGCGATTTTTTTTTTCCTATTAAATGTCTAGGCAAAATTTTTGATTCGTGTTTCCACACATCAATAAAAGACCAAGTTTTCAGTTTCAGAATGAATGCATTTAGAAATACACTCAAAGACGAATTTTTCTAACTCCAAAAATTCGAAGTTGTTGGATTTTTCGGACTTCACAAATGCGCCGTCAAAGTTCCCATTGCACCAACGCATATACGCGACTGATTTTTGGGACAAAATTATGTTACAAAATTCGATTTTCGAGGGCTAATAGTTTGTTTTAGGCTATGACCCTCGATTTTGAAAGCCACAGTTAAGTTTTCCTTTTCGTTCGTTGATCTCCTTGATATTGATTGAAGTCCCGTCAAGGAGATGATCGGCGTCGATGAAGCAGGAGGCAGGTTTGAGGTAATGAAAACTTGAAGGTATATTACAGCGAAATATTCACAGTCATATGTACATCTTGCCGAAGCACACTCATGATAACACAGACATCAACAGCGTCTTACTCTTCTACTTAACTTTTCTTAAGTTAGAGCCTAGAACACTGTTACTACATACAACGTACTTAGTCTCACTGTTCGACCACCAAGTGGTTACGGCCCAGACAAAAGTTGCATCGTACGGAGTCGAGGCTGCAATCACCTAACTGATAGATCAGTACGACTCCGTACGATGCAACTTTTGTCTGGGCCGTAACCACTTTGAGGTCGAACAGTGAGACTAATACATTGTATGTAGTAACAGTGTTCTAGGCTCTAACTTAAGAAAAGTTAAGTAGAAGAGTAAGACGCTGTTGATGTCTGTGTTATCATGAGTGTGCTTCGGCAAGATGTACATATAACTGTAAATATTTCGCTGTAATATACCTTCAAGTTTTCGTTACCTCCAACCCGCCTCCTGCTTCATCGACGCCGATCATCTCCTTGACGGGACTTCAATGCACATCAAGGAGATCAACGAACGAGAAGGAAAACTTAACTGCCACCATGATGGATTTTTGTTTGCTTGGTTGAGTTTGGCATGCAGTGGCTAGTTGTGTCGCCGACAAAATTAGAAGCGCGCATAATCTTCCAGTTTCAGAAGCCATGCCTCATCTTTTCTGGCAAAAGAAACAGCAAAACTTTTCCTTTTCAGTCATCCTTATCATCGTCAATAATCTGCCGGTAGGTTATTTTTATATTCTGGGTGTTTGTTTTTCTGGTCGTCATTGTGCACTTGGTCGTGCTGGCGGTGTGCCCAGTGGGTTCGAGCCATCGTGCGCGACACATGCTCGCTGCCGTTCGCGAATGTTCAATAGCACTCCGGTGGCCATGGTGCCGGGCTACTGGCCTGGAACACGCGAGTTCAATCACAGCCATGACGGTAGCGTTTTGATGATGGAGAAATGCTGGAGGCTCACGTACTGTGTGAGCCTTCAGTGCAGGTAAACGGAGCTCAAACCGGGTTGTTAAATCCCACCAAACAGGCGAGACACTGCATGCATCGTTTTGCGACCGGAATCAAGTTTTCTTTTCATCGTTCCATGGAGCCGCCCACTTTGCCACCAGCAACGGTTGGCGGCAGCGATTGCCAAGGCACTTGCCAACGCTGCTACTGTATCCCCGATAGAACCTAGTTTGCTCACCCCCAAGAATAGCGTGAAGCATGGCATTAGTGGGTATTTTCTTTTAGGCTTTTCCGATCTAAATAAACTTAGTTTTCACAACTTGACCATTTTTTCGGACCGTTTAGTTTTTCAGACTATTTCGTGGTCCCCATCACGCCTGTAAAATCGGTGGGCGAGTGTATTGTGGACATAGCTAGTTGTCTACCAATGAACAGGCTTCAAAGAAAGTGCTCGCGTTCACCATCATGCTAGCATGTGTATAAAAGCTTTAAAGACGCACTGGTACTGCGTGTTTGTCACGCTGTCGGGGCTCCTCTGAGCAACTATTTTTGATAAGCACTTGACGCATACAGACTACTTCAAAAGAGATCATCAAAAAGAATACAACTGTGGCACACAAAAAACACAACTCACGAGTGCAGTTGTCCCACTCCCTTTGTCGCTTGTCTCCGTGCACTCCAAGACAGTATTCAGGTGGCCCTTTTGTTGCCCTGACAACATCGAAATCGGGCTCAGCCTTGGCTGTGCCGACAATCCCGCGAAGGCAGTGGCCAGTGTCGACGGTGAGGACGCAGGGGTAGTCTCCACAGCTGGAGATGAAGCAATGTGGCCGCCAGTCGACACTCCTGACACTGAAAAGAGTAGTAAAAAAGGGGACAACAGTGCAGCTGCTATTTGCCAGAGGCACTGTGAAAATGTATTTAGAAAAAAATGGCAGCCAAAAAAAACTCGCTGCATATGCAGCGTCTGCATAGCCATTATGTTGAACTGTAACTTTACGACATTTGGCCATTTAAGCCCAATCCAGCTGGCAAGCATTAAAATATCAAAGTGGGCCCATACAGTTGAAACCTGAAGTGAAGTCTCAAGTAAACTGTATTTACCATGTTTACGTGACAACATGCTGACTTACGAGATTTAAACTTTAACATATGAAGATGCAGAAACAATTTTTGGAACTCGAAACATCGAACGCCAGTAACAACAAGACTAATCACATACCTAAAAGCGTTTTTCGCTAGGAGACCTGGAATAGCCGCAGAAATCCTGGAGCGAACCCATGGATTGCACCAAGCCAAATCTGCCAGTGAAACACGTGAATGCACCGCGGAGGCCGTTTAAGTTGTTTACGTACAGTTCACTAAACCAGTTCCGGAAATGATTCTCTTTTCAGCTTTCTACGTATACATGGCAAACTTGTCAGCTCTGCAAAGCGTGCATTTCGACCACACTGTTCACGGAAAGCAGGGGTATCATTTTCTTGTGTCGCGCTGAAAAATGTAAAAGAGCACACGGAGATTTCTGTGGCTGTGCGCCTGCTGCTGCTGGGAGTGCTCATTGCTAGACCGCAGTTCCTTCACAGCAGTGAACGCAGCCATTTTGCAATGCTCAGCCCATGCACAATGACGGAAGTGACGTACGCTGCTCCTCGAACTTCTGCCCAAATCTGTAACTTAGCGGGGGAGCAGCGAGAGCAAGACCTCCTCAGGGAGGGTTGCTCTGAAACTGCCATTAAAAAGAGCGAACCCACTCCAAATCTACCAGTGAAATCCAGATTAGTCGCAATGGAGCAAGAAAAACTGCTCCGGATCTACCATTGAAGCGCGCCATAGGATACTACAGTTTGCTTTCAACATAAAATTTGCTTTCTGGCTAACTCATTGGATTCTGTTCTGCAGCTCTTTCAAAATGTCTCAATAAATTTTGTTACATGCCACTGAGTTCATACAGACACCATGAGGTTGATAAATGACAATCACAGAGATCGTAATGTAATCCTTGATTGAAGGGCCGCTGTACTAATAGGCATTGGCCATTTGTTTGAGGGGTACTGGTAATAATTGTCGGAAGCACCACTGGCTCTCGCATGTTTTCATTCAGCTGTTGTGTGCTACCGCTGTTCCCAACAGTCGAGCTTGACCATCATGAGTGCCATCCTCGCCCCAAAAAACTGCACTCGTTAACAACAGTGCTCAAGAAGGCTGCCATTCTCTGCGCCGAAGAAGCAAGTACTGCACAGCAAGACGCAAGTTTGGTGTTTTGTAATGGCTGGTGCAGCACTGTTCAATAATGGATGGAGCGGCAAATCATTGCAAGTCATGCCAAAGGATAAGGCTTTCATGTGCAGGAGTCTGGATGCTTTTCGCAGCCGAGACCTTCCACCATACGTGACCAAACTATGCGATCTGTCAACTGGAAACTTACAAACAGGTGCTCAATTAGGCACGCATTGCTGACTTCAGACGGCCGAGTGAAGTCCAGGCGCTGACGGTTCATCGTGACACATTTAAAAAATAACCATCAAACAATGCCACGAGTACGCCTTTTCTACCCCTAGTAACGGCAGGTGTCCAAAAGCGGTCTCTGATCAAACTCCGGGCGAAGTCTCGAAGCACCGTGAAAGGAAGCCCGATACAAAGCTGAGCTATGGGATAATAAGTAAAACCAGCGAGAAAAAAAAACGTCAGGCCTGTGCGAAATGCACAGCACAGTCACACCGAGAGCTGTAGGAGTGGCCATTAAGAGCCTTTTATAAACAATCTGTGAGTAGCTGCTGCGGCCGGCATTCTTATTCACTTTCTCTTGCGGCTCATACCCACTGCGGAAAATTGGTCAGAAATTTATTTGTAGCCTAGAATCCATGGCTCATACCCCCTCTGGGGGATCGGCCAAAAGACCATATAGTCTCATACGGGCTATAACTGCACTATTGCTTACAACAAAAAAAGGAGAAAAAAAGTTGTAAAATGAAGACAGCATATTAAAAAAAAGAAAACAAACATTGCTATGCCATTCTTCATCATTCATCGGAGAAGAGTGGTGCCCACTACGCACTTGCAAAAAATTTTGTGCAATTTTCTCATGCTGTGACTGACGATGATGAAGAATTATGCCTGAAGCTTGAGTAATAGGTTGGCGCAACTGACATCTCACTCGTTCCGCAATTCACATTGTGCGACGCCTGGTTCTGAAGCACTTTTTTATTCATATTAACGCCATTTCTTTCCCGACATCAAGCCTGCCTAAAGCTAGTTTGCAACAACGTCCAAGCAGCAGCGTGGCTCTGTGGTAGAATACTGGGCTGGCACGCAAGGTACCCTGGTTCGAATTCTACTATGCCCTTGTCTTTTTATTTACCGAGTCAATGCCACAGAAAACAACGAAAGAGACTGAACGTTATAATTTGTACAACGCACGAACATAGACATAATTCCTTGAACTTCATTTCTCTTACACGCAGGCTACAAGCACTTATTCTGTCTCAGCCGCGACACAAAATACAGCGCGTACGACGGAGTATTCGGCGCCTACGACATTCGACCTTCAAATGCTACAAGGACTTCAAACCTTGTTCGTTTCTCGCAGGTGCTCAAGTCGTGTCATGGTCAGTGCAGTTTTTCAAGACGCTGTTACCTTCTCCAGAACGCCACAGCCAACCTCGCCCACCAGAACTCCGCCATTAAATGGACTGCTGCACTCTTTTCTGAAAATTTGCAATTTTACGGAACGCCACTGGGACATGAAACCAATTGTGCATTTTGACATTTGTGACTTCTCAATCTCGCCTTGTTTACTTTTTCTTGTTCGTAATCTATGCCTTCTTTCGGGGGAGGGGGAATCGTGTGACATATGAAGCGATGATTGGTAGAAGCCGGGAAGGAAGAAGTGCAAATTTTGGCTAGTCTGCGGTGCCGTAGAAATGACAGGAAGCTCGTCAGGGGTTTCTTTTTCGCTGTTCACTGCGAGTGGTTCTTGCGCCTGGTAGCGTGCGACGTTCGATGCGTCTGAGCGTTCTGTTTTGTTTGGACTGTCGAGGGTGTGTGCACCGGATGGTGATGCTGAAACCGTACGGAAGAAGAATGAATTGACAAGGTATTTTCTCGACGCGCCAGGTCATCTACCATGAATACGGCGTCCTTATAAGGCAAGTGCTGAGCGTTAGGAGTGCTTGAAGAACCGCGTGACGAAAACCCAGGTGGTGGACCACGTATGTGAGACGAAGAGTGAAGGGCATCAGGTGGTTGAGCAACGTCTCGGGTCATATGCTGAAGCGATGACTTCGGAAATGCCGACTTTCTTGTACAAGATAGACGCGCTTGACAATTGGGTTTTTCCCAATATACGGATGGCCTTCTGTAAGTAAACGCATGTGCCACTTCGTCTTGAGGCACTTGTCGATTCGCGCTGGACTTTCGAATGCTTGAGGACTGCTTAGGAAATTGACAATAGTGTGCAGTTGTCTCTAGATGGTTGGCAATGAGTAAATTTTGGTCATAGTCATTAAAACGGGTAATCATCTTCTCTTTGATCTTTTTCCAAGACTCATCGTTCTCGAAGATGTGGGTGAGGTAAAACTTGAATGCCTCACCTGAGATGTAGTCAGTGAAGTTCATGATCATCTCCCGTTCCGACCAGGATGCAGTGACGGCGTGGAGCTCAAAAAGGTTGAACAAGTCCTGTACGGTCCTGTGACGTAAGAAGGCAAGGATGGTTAGGAGAAGTAGAGGAGGAAGAAGTGAGAATAAAATAAACATGGCGTATGAGCCAGGCCACGTCTCCCAGTCATCATAGCATCACACACACACACACACACACACACACACACACACACACATATATATATATATATATATATATATATATATATATATATATATATATATATAGTACAACGGTATCCCTACCATATACATATAAGTGGTAAAATACCGCAGTTCGAAACGTCTGTGCAATGAGCTATTCAGTCGTACGAACCTCAAATTTTCCGCTGAAGTGTCATTGGAGCTAATGCTAAAGCGTTTCAATTCAACAAAATTAGTACTAACGAAATTCAAGTTCCAGTACCATATTTTGTGGTGCAATATTTTGCCTCACAATTCACACTAAAAAGAAATGGCCTGAAAAAATGGGCAGAAATGCCGATCGCCTTTAGGCCTTTAGAGCACTGTGCCACCTGTCACTCTTGCATTGCGAGATGTGCCATTATATTTAAAGAAAGGACCTTAACGAGCGTGGTAGCTGAAGAAAAAGAGGAGGATGATTGAGCAATATTTTTTAAAAGCTTCAGGACTTTTAGTGTATGAAGCACTGATGTCCTTATAAAAGTTGAATCCTGCGCTGCCCAGGATAACTTTGTGCCGGCGATGAAGTTTCAGAACTGGGACACAGTGAGTCAATTAAGACATTTACAACCTAACTGTAAGCGCATAAGTGCAGCAAAAGTTGCTACATTTTTTAAACCTGTGCAGGCATTCACAGTCGAGTAAGCAGCATTGTCAATAAAAAAGTGAACATTTCTAGAAGTGATCGCTTCTTTAGCTCCTGGCAGCATGTTTATTATACGTATGCAGGAATGATGTATATATACATTAGCAAAACACAATTACATGCCTTGTCTAAAAAGGTGACATGGGTAGTGGTGCGTGAAGTTCACCCTCACTATGCTGTTTTTCTGCGCTAAGCTGCCGAAAGGATTACGCTGGTCTTGTGAATTTCTATGATACTTTTTAGACGGCTCTGTACCTAATTTTTACGGAGCACAAATATCTATCCTAATTGTATACTTCATATTGATTGGAGGCGTCGTGCTTTTTTTATTTTAACACCTCACAATTGAACCTATGTTTTCAATCCTGAAAAGTTTGGGACAACTCTGGTTTTTTATAGCATTTTCAAAAATGCATAGAGTTGAATTGAAAGCGGAAGAAATAAAACAGGGTGACATGTCATTTTTTCAGGGTTTCATTGTTCGCGCTGTTTTAACATGATGTACGCAAGCCGACCAGAGCAGATAATGGACTTTAGTACAAATTTATTGATAATATGCGTGATACGTCCAATTTCGTAGGAAGCATGAAGAGTGTGATAAAGACGACAATGTCTGAGAAGCTCGTGGTCCACTACCGCGATTCTCAGGATATTCACGACCTCGTAGACGCAATACAGCGTTACCTCAAGTGCTGCGGCATGACGTCACAAAACTTTCGTGACTGGAACGACAACATGTAAGTGTGCTCACAACCTCATTCGCAGTTTTTACTTTGAAAACAAGTGTTGGTGCAGAGAGCTTACGATGCCTCAAATCATGGAGGCATTGAAAAACAATCTTACTTGCGTAAAGTTGTCGAAGGAGGTACTGCAATGTACAGATGTAATGAAGCTTTTTGCGAAAGCTGGTGGTTCATTGCATTGGCTTAGAACAAAGAAGGAGCAACTTGTCGCCATCGGACATACTGAGGCAGCTACACGTGATCCTGTGTTTTTTTTAGAATATTATTCGTAAGATATGCAATGACCATTGAAAGAATATTCTGAAAAAATGCATATTGGCCACGCCACCTTCAGTGGTTAGCGACTGTTTTATTATTTTCGTGCATATATCGAGGTGTTAGTTAAAGGCCCACTTAAGAGTTAGGCTATTTTTTGCGTACTAGTGAAGTACAGTTTCACAATCCCGAAAACGCCAATTTTGCCGCGACTCAGCGCTTGCTAAGCGAGAAAACGCGTGAAACAAAAATGCGTGTGGAGACGCCACTCGAGATTCCTGCACAAACACTATGACGTGATGGGATTTGAAGGCGTGTACTGGGTCCTAGGTAGCTCCTAATCAATACATCTTCAGTACATTTTCACCTGTGGGTATTTATCAAACGAACTTCCAGGACATTTTATCGAGACAACGTCTCCAAAATTTCGATAGTGCATGGTGAAATGTTTGACGCCACACACGTAAGCATCGGTGCGAGAGAGAGAGAGAAAACATTTATTGAAAGAAGCTTGTGAGTGAAGGTGGGAGGGTCCCTTATTCTAGGAACCCTCTGGCTTGGACAGCCCGCCGAGCTCGAGCGACAAGTTGAGGCTGCTCGACCAGGTCCGGCTGAGAGATCACAGCCTGCCACGCTTCACTGAGGAGGTCTGGGTCCACACCTGGTGCTCCTGCTCGTAGTCTTGGGACGCTTACTTTGCACTGCAGTAGGAGGTGCGCCAGAGTGTCTGCCACATTGCAGTGAGGGCAGATGTAGCTGTGCAAAAACGTTAGCCTCATAAGGTGCAATAGAACGCCGTGGTGAACATGTTGCTTTGAAGACGCCTATAGTCAGTCCCTTCGTCTTTTGGGAGTTTTGGATGCGGCGGAGGGTATAAGCTGCGTTCGAGCCGATAATGTTGCAGTAATGCATGGTACGTTAGTGGTAAGGCTTCTCTTGCTTCTGATTCTGTTGTTGAGTGGGAGGTGCCTCGGATCTCATAAGGGAATGCCCGGTTGACGCATGCGCGGGCTGCGGTGTGTGCCGCTTCATTTCCCTTGAGACCTTCACTGACTCGGAATCCACACGATGCATGTGTAGGGAGGAGGATTGTCCATGCGCTTTAGTAGCCTCATCGGCACCGTGGAGACCCTGCCTTTCCGGTAGTTTCGTGCCGCTGTTTGTGAGTCGGTAAAAAACCACGATGGGATCCTCACTCGTCTGGGTGGCGAGTGCTATACCAGCCTCTTCAGCTGTGTCCGCACGTTTGGCGATGATAGTCGGCGATGCCAGTACCGCGCCCTTGTAGTCTGTGATGGTAATCACGAAGACATTACGTCCTGGATATTTGGCTGCGTCTACGTGTCACACCTGCGAGTCATTACGATGCTTTTTCCGGATCATGTTAATCCTGGCGAGCCGCCTTTCTCGGTGCTGTTGAGGATGCATGTTTCGAGGGATCTGCTGAATTTTAAGGCTTTCTCACAGTTGTGACGATATTTTGCCTTTGCGTTCTTCGGTGGGTACTAGGGTGGTCTGTTATACTGTGCATCGAAGGACGGTTTGCCCTGTGAGTGACAGCTTGAGTCTCTCGACCTGGTTACTGAGGTGTGCTTCGGTGAGATTTTCCCACGTATTATGAACTCCCATGCGAAGCAGTCGGTCAGTGGAGGCGGCTGGCGGCAGTCCTAGGGCAAGCTTTGTAGCCTTTTGTATCAGCAGATTAAGTTTTCGTTTCTCCGCTGTCTTCAGGTTGAGGTAGGGAGTTCCGTACGTTATGCGGCTGTAACGGAGAGCTTGTACCTTTTTTAGGTTGTCGTGCTCTTTGAAGCCACTGCGGCGGTTAGCCACCCTTCAGATTAGGTGGGTGGGCTGTGTCACACTGTTCTGCAGCCAGGGTAGGGCAGCGGAGTCAGACCTATCTTTATGTATATGTAGTCCAAGGACTCGAAGTGTGTCAACTTGTGGTATTTGGACTCCCTGTAGAAAGACTTGTGGGTCAGGATTGTCGTAGCTAGGTGGTCTACCCCGGGTGCGTGCCGCAAGTACTAACAGTTCCAATTTTTCCGGAGCACATTGGAGGCCCCAGGTCTTGACATATCTTTCAGTGATGTTCACCGCCTCTTGAAGTCGGTCCTCTTGCTCACCCATGCTCGAACCTCTTGTGTACATAGTGATATCATCGGCGTATAAAGCGTGATGTATCCAAGGGACAGCGTCCAAGAGACGTGGGAGCATAAGGAGGGCTAAGTTGAAAAGCACTGGTGATATCACTGAACCCTGCGGCGTGCCTTTGTTAGGAAGATGAAAAAGCTCGCTCCTGATATTGGCAATCCCTACAGTGGCAGTGCAGTTGGTGAGAAAAGCCAGCGTATAGGCGTTTGTCTTGGCACCGCAGCCGACATCTTCCAGGCTACGCGGAATAGCTTCGTGGCTCACATTGTCAAATGCGCCCTTTACGTCCAAAGCTAGAACAGATGACTTACTGTGCTTGCTCAAGCAGAGAAGAATATGTTCCTTTATCTGCAAGAGGACGTCTTATGTGCTGAGCATTTGGCGGAAGCCGAACATGGTGTTCGGGTAGTGACCATTGTCTTCGAGATGTGTGGTGAGCCGCTCATTTACCATGTGCTCAAAGAGTATCCCAGCACAAGATGCAAGGGAAATGGGATGAAGATTCGCAATCGAGATTCGCTTGTTTGGCTTGGGTACCATGGTCACCTCTGAGTGCTTCCAGGCTTGAGGTAGCGCGCCCTTCCTCCAGCAGTCGTTATAGTGCCGAAGGAGTGCCGCCAACGCCCGGGGCGGTAGCTGTAGTAGGTGCTTATTGGTCACTTCGTCTTTTCCTGGGCTCGTGTTGCGCGTAAGCTTAGCGAGGGCCGCTTAGCTCTGCCAGCGTGAAAGGCTGGTCTAGTGCTTCGTTCGGTGCTTCTCGGTACTCCCTGGGTGTCGAATCGTTGATGGAGGTAGCTTGCTGGTTAACCGAGCCACGAAGTTTTGCTTCAAGTTCTTAGAGTAACTGGTGCTCTGTGCCCTCATAGTTGTGCATGAGCCAATGAATTGTATTTCTTTAATTAGTTTTTGTGTGGGTGTCGTCAATATGGGCTCGAAGAATGCGCCAAGTCTTCTTTGTGCTCAATGTCCCTCTGAAGTTTTTTGCAGGAGGACCGCCAGTTCTCGCTCGCAAGGTTTTCGGCGTACTCCTGTGCCTGTCTAGTGAGTACGGTGACGTGGCGCGCAGCTTGCGGTTGACCTTTTGCCGTTGCCATCGTTTATTAAGCGATCACAGAGCTTCCCATAAGTGAAGGAGATGAGGAGATGATTATCAACTGCCGGATCGTCCTCGTTCAAGTGTATCGTTTTTGTATGTCCGTCAGCAACACTTACAATACTGTTTAACCAGGCCTCATTGTCTTCGATAGTCGAGTCATCATCAAGGTCATTCCTGTAGGTGGTCCAGTTCATGAGCCGACCTTTTCCTGTCTTCAGTGAGCGGTGGGCCTGTTCGACCTCTATTTGAATTATGTAATGGTCACTCCTTAGAGTGTGTGGTAGCCTTGTCCACGTTGCGTCGTGCACGTCTCTAGTGAACGTGAGATCAGGATTAGTATCCCTCGACACGTTGTTGCACACTCGTGTTGGATGAAGCAAGTCATTCCACAACGTCAGACCATGTTGCTGTGCAGCGTCATGAACACGCGCCCCCTTCTTGGTGGTGCTGTGATAGCGCCAGGCCGTGTGTGGAGCATTGAAGTCCCCAATTATGACGAGTCGGTTGCCGTTAACCATTTGACGGAGCTCATGGACGAAGTGGTCGTATTGGTGTAACTGCTCCCGCGGAGGGCTGTAAAGGTTGGTCAGGTATAAGTTTTGTTGAGTTTTCCGAGTGGGGATTATCTCCACGAAAGGTGTATTCGATGCCAATGTCTTCAATTTCATAAGGCTGTGCGGTTAGAGTCTTCTTGACTAGAATTGCAGTGCGGGTTGAGCATGTGAGAGTGCTATAGTCAAGGAGCTTGATTTTTTCTGTTTGGGTTTCCTGCAACGCCATCATATCTGGATTATTTGTTTTAACATATTCTTGCATGTATGCAGAACGAGGTCTGCAGGATCTGCATTTCCCGCGCCAAATTCGAAGAGCGGGGAGTGGCTCAGACTGTCTATGTGTGGGAGCTGCCATTCTGGCAGTTGATTCCCGCCTGGTGCCAGTCGTTTGGTGCTGTCAATCGAATTTCCGCGTCAGTTTCATCCCCTAAAGTCTTTCGCTCTTTCCGCTTGGTCTTTGATTGCTCCACCAGCTGCTCATGGGTAACGAAATTTTTGTATGCATAGGTTATGAAGTTATGCTGTTGTGCCATGAAGCCATCAAGCTTGGCGTCGAGCGTGCTTACCGTACGGGTTAGTGGTTCTACCTTTTCCATAATTTTAGTAACCACTTTCTCTGTGGTTATGTCTATGGATGCGAGGAGTTTAACAGGGAGGGCTTTTTCGAAAGCTTCAAGGCGTCTTTCGACGAAGTCGAGCATCTTTGCCTCATTTGCTTGCAGCCTTTCTTCTACCCGCTTCATTATTCTGGCTTCAGTCTGTTTTAGTAAGCTGTCGTCAAGTTCTAGTGTGCTACACTCGGCTGGTGAGCGTTGTTGTACCCTCCGTTATAGTACTTGGACTTTATTTTCTAGAGCCCGGATGGTCACTGTCTGAGCAGGCGAGATGGTCGAGGCACTTGTAGTATTTAGAGAACTGGGCCCGTCACTACCGGTCACCGCGGAGGCGTAACTGATTCCCCTAAGGAAGCGAGACCGTGAGGGCGTGCGGGATCCAGAGCGACCTTTTTTCTTAAAGCGAGAGTGACTTCGGTAAAATTTTGGGGGAAAAGAGGGGGCGTGTGAAATTTCTGGTGTGATAACTGACCCGGGTAAATCATTGGTGCAAGCACTGCAGCGATTCTCACGGGCGCGAGCTTTATCGAGATGCTTTGTCATACTTGATAAGGAGGAGGGTTGCCCGGAGTTTCTTCTTGCATTCTTTTTCAGCAGTCTCATCGTCTTCTCCGCAGATCTTGCACATCGGTTGGCAGTCATGTGGTTCTGTGTCCTTGTCATGGCCGCATTTGTATCAGAAGGTCTCTTTCGGCTTAGGGCAGATGTCTTTTCGGTGACCTATGGCGCCAAAAGTTCGGCAATATTGGATGAACTTCTGGTATGGCTTGCATCGCTAGTCACCACTGAGGTATGTTACGTAAAAAAGAACGTGCTGCCCGTCGAAAGTGATTACTGCAGCTGTGGAAGATCCCAGCATGCGCGCGCCAAGGACGTGGTATGTTGGGTCTACACGAAGTCCTGCAACAATCTCTGTGGGGCTTTTACCTGTTTCGAGGCCGTAGATAACTCCGCGGCACACATCATTGGGGTGTCTAGTGTGCGGATTTACCTGATGTATTACTCCACCGAGCTGTATAGCATTTATTCTTTGCAGTTTGGAAGCTTGTTCAGTACCCGCTGTGCTTGCGATGATCACATTCTCTACTTTCTCCACCTGCACTCGCACAGGGTCATAGAAGTCCTGCTGGTCAAGCCACTGGATCTTCCGATGGCATGTGTAACCTCGATGAGTGTTCGTTTTGAAAGATGTAGTCCTGGTTGCGGGCCGATACAATTTTGAAGTCATCAGCAGGGAATGGCCACATCCTAGTGCTGCGTTGACGTTGCGGTTGAGATTCGGCGTCTGGCTTCACAGGTTGCGTAGCTCGTTCTTCGGATGACTTGTCTTCTTAGGCTGACCTGTCTTTACGGCCAGCTTGAAGCCACTCAATGTGGGCTTTGCCACTATTTTCACCAAAAGTCCATTGTGATGCCGTTCTTGAGTTACCCTCCGTGTTGTGCACTTGCATCATACTCGGGCTTTCTTGACGTGGGTTAGACGTCTGCGTTTCCATGAGAGCGTTAGCACTTTACCTCAGACGCTGCGTCTCTGTGTTGCGTGAGCAGCGTGCTCGTGCACCTGTGAGCCGATGGCGTCCAGCTCGTTTCGCAGGCCCTTCTTCGTGCCACAGCGGCGTTCGCGTGCAGCGCGGCCTCTGAATTCCTTGGCGATGTTGCGTCCCACCGAACAGGCACAATATGTTTAGAGTTCAATATCTAGTAAAAAAAGTACACTCACTGCGATGAATCGGGTGTCAAACCATGCCCTGCAACGTGAGGAATCTCAAGTCACCAAACGCGAGCAGTGTCCAGGCAGGGTTGCAAAGAAAATAGCAATAAGAGCAGGAGCCCATGTGAGGTGCGACTACACACCTAAGCCACCTGGCGGCCACCGCATTGGTGAGAAAATTAAAAACAAAACTTCAACCTCAATTTTCTTCGCTAATAATAAGCTTATGATAGTCAAACAAATGCCACCAGAGTTTTCATAGTGCAGTTTGGCAATCTAGACCAAATCATTGTTTCACAACAGTGTTCCTTTAATGTCGCGGAACGTCAAAATGCATTGACCCGCACTTTCTTGTGTGTATTTGTTGAACACAGCACTGTTCTTTTAGCTGTTAAAGATGCAAAAAAGCAAAGCTAACACCCCAATATTTCGTATCCAAACCCACCCATAGGATGGTATATAGTATCAATAATTATACAGGTCAGCACAGTTCGTGGATTTTCGATGCTTGAAAAAAAATTTAACCTATCACAAGTATCCAATTCCTTAACTCGTCTTATCTTCATTTAACTTGTCTTTGCAGTTACTTCCACTGTGACGCGTCGAACCCGAGCCATGAACGGTGCTCGGTGCCGCCGTCATGCTGCCGCCCCGAGTCGACTTTCACTGGAACCTTCTGTGGGCGCAGCGTACTGAACTTGTCCGATCACGAGGCTTGGTTCCGCGTTCACACGGGAAGCTGCCCTGACGCGACAAACCGCTACGTGAAGGAGCACGTCATGATCATCGGGGGTGTCTGCCTCGTCGCTGTCATTGTTCTGGCCTTCATAGACATGGTCACTAACGCCGTAATTGACGAGATCGACATCATTCGCAAGATATATGACCATATCAACGGTGGAGAGGCCGGAGTGTCATTGCATTCACAACCTAAGATGCAATATTCATTAGAACGTTTACCGTTTTTTGCTATTTACATTTACGCATTGAATTACTCCTCATAATCAATCTTGTTCACTTTTAAAAATCTTTTAAAAATATTTTTAGCACCTCAGGCCACAAAAGCGAATAATCGCAACCTAAATAGTTGATCGAAAAATGTGAAAATTCAAGAGCTTGGTTTTCTTTGTTATACATTATAATAAATAATCTTAACTGACTATGATGCATGGAAAGTCTACGAAAAAAAGAAAAGTAGGCAAAAACGTATCTTGCTGTAAGCGGTAATCCATCTCTCCCCTTTAGGCAGGCATCCTCTTTAGGCAGACAATAACAGAGTCAAGGACGCTAGAAGCCCTGACTCTGAGTTTAGAACAATTTTCGGCCTGTCGGCGTCACGCACCACGTGAATATATTACGAGCTGGCAGCTAAATTATAATCACTCGCATACAGCCTAAATACATTGTCTTCCAGAACCAAAGCCTCACTATGAACAAAGGAAAGAAATCGGAAATTCAACGCTCATTCATCATTACCTGTTCCCCTCTGGGAATATGGATGAGGAAGACAGTAGTACAGTACATGACGTAGAAGTGACGCCGTCTCTGAATGAAAAAGCTGAAATCTACCTAGATAGAGGGATTTCGATTCCCAGAAAAGCATAGAGGCTTGCGTGAGTAACAGTGTCTCTTGCCTGCTCCTCTACACCGGGGTAGGGAAACGGGAAAGCAACCACACGATGGATAACGATGTTGATTTATGGTTGTGAATATATACCGTTGCTACAAGTTGACCAAGTGCTATATTCTACATCGAGTCGAATAATTTACAAGAAGGTTATAAGTGCTCTTACGACCACAGTCTCACTGTTGACCTCAAGTGAAGCGCTAAACACAAGTTGATCACGTTGCGGCACATTACAATATCGACGACTAAAATAAATAAAATTTTGTCGTTCGCGAGTTCATGCAGTATAGGTAAAAAACAGTGTTCATGCGTTTCTGGCACCTGATGGTGAATATAACAGGCGCCACTTTCACTGCAGCCGACAATATGGGTATAACAGGCGCAAAAGTTTTGGGAAGGGAACATAAAAACGCAGAAAGTACAATTGCATTTTCTGCCAATATAAACAAATATTTCAATTAAAAAATCAAGCAATTTTTTCCCTCCGATGACCGCAGTCTTCCTCGAAATATTGTCAAATTTGCCGTGTGTGCTGGGCGTTTCGTGTACGGTCTTCAAAAGCCATTTCAATTACATGCGCCTTATTGCTGAATTCCCTCTCGCTCAGCATTTTAATTGATCATTGGTGAGTAGTGAAGCGGGATTCTCCTAACTTTTGAAGTGTACCAGTGCTGAGTAGTGTGGTTTTCTTTATATAAGAGGTACATCAATGACTGCCAGCGCACAACTTTCTCTTCAGACTTCAAACAGAAATATGTGACACAGTCCCCCTCATTTTTTTAAGTTGGTAAGGGTCGTTCATTAGGGTAATATTTCCCCTTGAGCGGGTAATTTTTTTCTCTGTTGCCAATGCCCTATTTATTTACAGATGTGCCCTAAAGAGTGAAATAGTACTACAAAAGGTGGTGTCATTATTGGTGCGGCTTGACATTGTAATCCTCTAAAACATGTTAGAACAGTCTTTATATCTTTTAACCTTTCTTTACTATACAATATCAGCCACACTAATCATGCAGTAGAAAAAGAATACGACGATCGGTTTCTTTTTTTTTCAATTAGATCGTCAAACGAGTGATGTGGTTCAATGATAATTGTATCAAGCAAATTATGCGATAGGGTGAAAATTTCCTTCAGAATGTTAGACTCGGGGCGTGAAATAGTAGCAATATCTTTGTGTTCTTTGTGTCTCCCAGGATACCAGGCGTTTTTGATTTGTTAATTGTCATTTTCTTTCTGGTGTTCAAAGCACTAGTTACGTTGGCAGTGTTTTGGCAGCCTGTTGAAGGAAAAACTGTATTCACAGGAGACTTTAATTCACTGCGTTTGTCTTGGGAGCTAAGGAAAAATTTTTGTGGAAGGTGGCTGTAGGAATAGATCATTGACCACAGCCTCTCTTGTCCGAATAAAGGCCACGTAACATCTGTCCGAAGTCAGACTTGCTCAGTATTAGATTGACCCTTTTTCTTCAATGCAATCAATCTTTTGTCATCGGCTGTTGTTGACTCAACAACTAACAGCGATCGCCTTCTTATTGTTTTTTATATTACTTGTTGAGTCATAACTTTAGATCGGCCAACACGCACAAATGAAAACCATGGTAAATTTCAGGCCTGTCTGCATTCTGCCATTTCTAAATTTCAAAATGCGAGTGCTAACGAGATTGCATCTACGAATGGCTATATGCTAAAGAGATCTAGAAAAAATTCTGAATTCACTATTCGATTGAGTAAATGACCTTCATCTTGTTGGTGGAAGGATGAATTTACGCGGGATTATAAAAGCCTAAATTCCGTTAAAAACTTCTCAATAATCAGTACTCAACAAACTGGAAATACTATCAATTGCTTTCTCTCGTATTATAGCGTACTATTAAGCGTGCGAAAAAAAATACGACAGTTCACATTACAAGAACCCTTCCAAATTAAAAAAAAAGTGAGCGTGATTTGCTCCCATAGCTCATGAGAACAAAGAACTGGCAACGCCTTTCACCTTACATTCATGTCTTTATGCCGGAAGAAATAAACTACTCTCTAGAAGACAAAGTGCCAAGTTTAAAGCACTGCTTCACTGCTAAATTTTCGGCTATTCGTTTGTGCTAGTAATATCACTTGGATTTTGAAAAAAATGTTAGCTGAAGTAAGTCACAAAGTACGATGCCGAATAAGGACATCTGCAGAACCAGATAAAAAGAGTTTTTTTATTTAGGGTTTTACTTCAGGAATTGCCTAATCTTCTGTTGAAACTTGTGAATTATTTGTTAGGGGACGCATGGATCCCGCCATAATGAAAACTTGCTAAAATTATAATGTTGCTCTGAAATCAAACTGGAGCATACATTTTGGATAACAAAAGACCAATCACATTGACATTAAACTTTAGTGGAATTGGTTTATAGGATAATCAAAATACAAAGAATGAACTTATTGACGAGAGGTCAGTTTATAGCCTCTGTCCGATTGGGTTAAGAACTGGTTGTTTATTTTTGAATATCCATGTTCATTTAAAAAGTCGTATGCAACTTGCTCGGCAACGTAACAAATCTGCAGCTTTAATTACTTTACACTTCGTTAAAGCATATCACACCGTAGAACACTGTATCTTTATAAACCGATTAGAATAGCTTGATTTCCAACGTGCCTAATACCGTAGGCTCACACTTTTCTTGCAGACAGAAAATTTTACTGTTTTAAAGATGGGTATAGATCATCTACTCACTCACAAATGAGACGGGTACCGCAAGGCTCAGTGGTTTTCCCAGTGCTATTTAACGCACTAATCAGCACCATTACACGTCACCAGAACATAACAAATTTTGTTTATGCAGACTATGTCGCGTTTTTTGCAATCGCACATCACATTCAGACTTTATCTAAACGGCTACAGATTTACCTTAACACTCTGGATAGCTGGCTCGATGGTAAGTTATTTAGGCTTAATTCGAGTGAATGCACGCTTCTTATTCTCCCGCTACAGTGCTTCGTGCACATCTCACTGTGTTATTATCATCATGATATAAGGCAGGTAGAATCTATTAAGCAACTAGAAAGAATTCATCATACATTGCCTAACTGACGACCTCACATTGAATATATCGCCGGAAAACATGCACCGGCCTGTGGCGTATTACGTAGGCTAAGCAACTACCTCATAAAAATTAGAAGAGACCCGCTGATAATGATATATGCCATATACATTCATCCTATTTCGGAAGCCGGTTTTACACCTTTTTCTTAGGCTTCAGCTCGAGAATGAGACCTTTTCTTTGTTTTCGGAAAGGCATGCTTTGCACTTATGTCCTACCCTGCATAAAACAGATTCCTAACATTACGTTCTGTACCTAGAATTGAGAGTTCCTTCTATTTCCAGCAGAATGTGCATTTTACTGTACAAACACTCTTGAGAATTCATGATTCACTATTACGACAATGAAAAACGGCCTTTTTTTCCAACCCGGTATGAATTTTTGAAGCTTCATGGCCACGATTTCACAGCTAACAAGTCATAAACACACATATATGCGATATCATCTCGACTCGTCATAAGTCATACCCTGTGTAAATTCAATTTGATATTTTTTTCATATAAAGCCCAATTACTTCCCTGTAATATCTTAGATGCTTTATTACAAGATCACCTGCGCAATATCACAACAATTGTTATTGTTCTTGCAGACGCATCACAATCGGATGAAAACTGCTGTGTTGGTATACTTAGACCGAATTCAGACTGTTCTTATACTTTTCAACTATCTGATCTATACCCGTTTTTGTGGCTGCATTTTTGACAGTTGTGGCCGCTTTGCACCTGTTGGAAATGGCAATTACACCAGCTGTCATGATAACATATTCTCTATCTTTTAGTGCGACACTTTCTGTTAGTGCTGAATCTTAACTACTAAAGGCGTTCCATGCACCAGTACCTGCTGACCCGCCGGTCACCGGATCGAATCGCAAAGGCGGTGTCTGCATTTTCGATGGAAGTGAAATTGCTGTAGACCAATATGCTCAGTTTTGGGTGCACGTTAAAGAACCCCAAGTGGCCGAAATTTCCGGAGCTCTTCACTACGGCGTCGCTCATAATCAAAGGGTGGTTTTGGGACGTTAAACTTCACATACCACCCAATCAATCAACCAACATTTATTATATCCCTGGCAGTATGCCTTTTGCCAAACTTGTAAACTAGAAGTACATGTTATGAGGCTGCGCTTCTAAATTTCTACAAACACAGCTGGGGTTAGGCACCTTCGCCACTGTGCACGTTATGTGGTGA